TGTAACTGTTGAACTTCAGCTCTAGAGCTGAAGTTTTTGTTTCGTAACTGGCGAACTTCAGCTCTAGAGCTGAAGTTTTTGTTTTGTAACTGGCGAGCTTCAGCTCTAGAGCTGAAGTTTTTGTTTTGTAACTGGCGAACTTCAGCTCGAGAGCTGAAGTTTTTGTTTTGTAACTGGCGAACTTCAGCTCTAGAGCTGAAGTTTTTGTTTTGTAGCTGTCGAACTTCAGCTCTAGAGCTGAAGTTTTTGTTTGTAACTGGCGAACTTCAGCCTTCTTAGAGTTGAAGTTTTAACTGACTTTCCATATGATTCGATGTCAATTTGGTTTGATTGGATTGCCTCCTTCAAATGGTGTCCTGCCACAATCCCATATACATACTAGAAGTTTGGCTATTCTTCAGAAACAGGTAAATATGATTAAATTTGTCGATGACTGTTAAGATACTTATTATGTTGCCTCTAGTGCTGCTACGTTGAACGCTAAACACTTCATGTATTGCCAACCAGTTGATTAGGAAGAAGATGGTTGAGAGTGCAAAAGAGAGTATCAGAAGAAAAGCAAGCGACTCTGAAATCTATGGCAACATGCAAGTTGTATTCATAGAGATAGATAGTTCTCCTGTTGATGAACTAAAAGGTTTCTATCTCCACAGCCCATGTCAATTACTGGAACATTTTCACAATCAGCGACTTCCGAAAGGAGTGGCCTATCGGATTGAGGGCGGATATAACTTTGAGGAGGAGAATGATACCAACTTGTCAAAATCTATGGCAACATGCAAGTTGTATTCATAGAGATAGATAGTTCTCCTGTTGATGAACTAAAAGGTTTCTATCTCCACAGCCCATGTCAATTACTTGAACATTTTCACAATCAACGACTTCAGAAAGGAGTGGCCTATCGGATTGAGGGCGGATATAACTTTAAGGAGGAGAATGATACCAACTTGTCACGACTCAAACCCCGCACTGGTCGTGATGGCGCCTCTCGTGAAGACGAGGCTAGCCAACTAACCTAACTCGTCTTTTCAAAAATAATTTAAACATGAATGAACAGCTAAAAATATGACTTAATAATATTAATTAGCGGAAATACAACCCAACACAGCCCTAATCGGGATGTCACAAGTCACGAGCATCTATTAGAAGGTAAGTACAACCTCAAGGTCTAAAATACACTAATCAAGAATAATGAACAACGGGAGAAGAACGATGCTGCGAACGCTGGCAGTCACCTCGTTAACCTCCTATATCTCTAACTCTGATCAGCCAAACTCGCTACCGGGTGAACAAATACCTGCAACTGCACACGGGGTGCAGGGAGTAAAGTGAGTACTCCAACTCAGTGAAGGAGGAGAAATGGGGCTGAAGTTGTTTAAGAAATGGGTACAAGTTAAAACTTTTTAAAAAGATGGGTATAGGTTAAATGGGGGCGACCAAATAGGACGCCCCGTGCAATTTTTACGTATAAATCTCTTATAAAAACTGTTATTATTGTATTTGTTAATACCAAACTAGTATTAGTACCCGCGCGATGCGCGGACATAAAGCATATCAAATTATGATTTGGGTTATTTAAATTATGTGCAAATAACCTTAAATTAAACCTTCTATATATAAATTATAAATAATATTTGATATTAATTAAGAAGCAGGGCATGAAACCATTTTTCAAATCTCATAGTGGATAATTTGTTTTGTTTTTCCTTTATCTGTAATAACCCAACCCCTTGATTTTGACACTTGTATTATATTTTACGGTCAGTATTAAAGAATACTATACATGTAACATTGTGATTTGTCTTGTTTGAGCACATTAAATTATATTATTTTAACAAAATTCTTACTACCACTTTATTTTTCATCTCAAATTCAAATATTCTTATCCTTCTACATTTTTAGACATAATTTTTTTCTCTTTTTTGTTCCTTGCTTATAGTTTTTGCATTATTTATTACTTAATATTGTTATACTATAATGTGATCTTTTATTCATCTTGTTTACTAACCTTTTAATAATCATCAATAAATGTAAAAAAATTATTCTTGAAATTAATGTATTTTTACAATATTATCCACTTACTCAGATCTCTTTCATCATTTAAATCTATTAATAATATTTTTGACTGCTATTTAATAATTTAATTTATTTATTTTTAATAAATTTATAAATATAAGTATCCTCGCACTATCTCTATTTTCCTCTTTATACATAATTTTTTTACCTATACTCAACATAAACAGAATTTCAATTTTCTATTCAATTAAAAATTCAAACTGAAGTATGATACTTTCCTTATATTTGATAGTTCTCAATCGGGAACATATATATCACATTTTATTTTAAATATAACTTTGAATTAGTCTAAAAATTAATATATAAGTTCTTTTATAATGTTTCAAATCTATTGAATTTTCTTATAATTATTTTTTGTATTACGTGCATTTATCTTGTAATCTACAACAACAACAACTACCCAGTAAAATCCCACCAGGTGGGGTCTGGGGAGGATAATGCGTACGCAGACCTTACCCCTACCTGATAGGGCATTTATCTTGTAATCTATTGATACAAATTTGGCTTTTAAGAACTTTCTAATCTCAAATTCAAATAGTCTTTCCCTTTCATTTCTAATAGTAAATTTTTAATAATTTAACGTAATTTTGCTATTTTTTTAATCTAATATAGTCTTATTACGTTATGTGACTTTTCATTAACTTGTAACTTTATTTAATATCATTANGACTTTTCATTAACTTGTAGCATTATTTAATATCAATATCAACTACTATTCTTTAATATAATATAGATAAATATATAATTTTCTTAATCATAAAATATATATATATATATATATATATATATATATATATAGTTTGTTTTAAAAATATTGCTTGAAAATTTTAAATTATTTCATTTTTAAGTATTGTATATTTACTTTATTTTATTCCCTAAACGTATGATTATAAATATCCTCACATTATATCTAATTTATTTTTATTATTCAATATTTTTAGTTTTTGATTTTATCTGTTAGACTTGAATTTCGTGGACTTATCCATATTATGACTTTTCTTATCAAAAAATAAAAAACTTTCTCATATCAAATTTAAATTAGTTTTTACCCTTTTTCTCTATTGTAAAAATCTGAATTTTTGTTTTTTCTCTATTTATTATTTATTTTTGATATTATATTATTCAATTCCTAATATTATTACACTGTCATGTTGACTTTTATTAGCTTGTTTGATATCTATTTCTACCACACTCATTCTAATATAATATAAATAAAAATTAAATAACTTTCTCATCTCAAATTCAAATAATTTTTATCATTCTATTTTCTAAATTGGGCCGTATTTTCAAAAATTTATGTTATGCTTTCAAACTTAATTAACAACACTCAATACAAATATTAATCATACAAAAATATTTTCTTAATTATTTGAACACATTATATCTAAACGTTGTAATATTTTACGTATAAAATATTTGTTTGCCCAATTTATCAATATTAATATGACTTTATTATTCTTGTTATTAAAATAGTTTTTACTGATTATTTAATTTTTTTTCTTAATTTATAAATAATTTGTATACTTTATGTAAGATCTTATTTTGCTGCTTGAATTTCTCTAATTTTAAATTCAATAAATCTTTCACATCTTAAGTAAATTTTAGTTTTATTTTATATTTTAACTTACTCCAAAATATAAATAGTCATAGGTTATCTCAACTTACGTATTTTTACTTTTTTATTTTTTAATTAATTTTTATCTCCATATTTCTAGCTAACATAGAAGAAAATCTATGACTGGATCAATATAAAGATATAAATATAGATATAGATATAGATATAGATATAGCTACAAATATAAATATAAATATAAATATATAAATTAGATTTCTAAGATTACTTAGATTATGTATAAGATTCATTAAACTACTTCCATTAAATCTGTTTCCATTTATAATTCAAATTTTTAATGTTGTCTTAAAATTGCCAAGTGACTTCATTTTAGCTTGCCACTTGGTTTAACCACATGCTTCACTACTCTTCTTTTAATATAATATAAATACGCCTTATGTGGCCATGTGGATTTTTATTAGCTTGTTTGAATTTAGTATCTATTTCTACCACACTCATTATAATATAATATAGATAAAAATTAAATAACTTTCTCATCTCAAATTCAAATAATTTTTATCATTCTATTTCTAAATTGGACTGTATTTTTAAAAATTTATGTTATGCTTTCAAACTTAAACTAACTGCATTCAATTCAAATATTAATCATACAAAAATATTTACTTAATTATTTCAACACATTATATCTAAACGTTGTAATATTTTACGTATAAAATATTTGTTTGCCCCTGATTAATCAATATTAATATGACTTTACTATTCTTGTTATTAAAATAGTTTTTACTGATCATTTAATTCTTTTCTTAGCTTATAAATAATGTGTATACTTTATGTAAGATCTTATTTGCTGCTTGAATTTCTCTAATTTTAAACTCAATAAATCTTTAACATCTTAAGTAAATTTTAGTTTATTTTATATTTTAACTTACTCCAAAATATAAATAGTCATAGGTTATCTCAACTTATGTTTTTTTTACTTTTTTTTTATTTTTTTATTATAGTTTTTAGTTAATTCTTATCTCCATATTTCTAGCTAACATAGACGAAAATATATGACTGGATCAATATAAAGATATAGATATAAATATAAATATAAATATAAATATAAATATATAAATTAGATTTTTCTAAGATTTATTTAGATTATGTATAAGATTCATTAAACTACTTCCATTAAATATGTTTCCATTTATAATTCAAATTTTTAATATTGTCTTAAAATTGTCAAGTGACTTTATTTTAGCTTGCCACTTGGCTTAACCACATGCTTCACTACTCTCCTTTTAATATAATATATAGATAAACAAGTAAAAAAATAACTATAAAGTCGGCACGTAGTTCCTATACAAATTGTATTCAATCCTCAAGTTCCATAAAATCACAACAAATATCTTAATATTGTAAATGCAATTCCTTTCACACAACATCTCTCTCAAGCACACACATTATAACCGTGCTGAATCCAACACAATTAATATCTCAAAATTTAAAAATATTTTGGTAATGAAAGGACAAAAACCAGAATAAATAATAGTAAATATGTAACTTTCCATCCAAGATCCTATATTGTGTTATTGACTCCCAACTTCTCCTTCATCTATTTCACATTCCTCGTAGATTTTTCCCCAACATCTTTAATTACTTTAATATTCTGTTGACCACTTTTATTGACCATACTTTTAGCTCGATTTCTGGAACTATGGATCTTAGTATAGCTAGTAGCGGGAGTTGATCCTGACCTTAAACTTTGTGTCCAATCAAATTTAGGCGGACGAGTAAACATAACGTTACTCGCCGCCTTAGGACTTCTCAAATTGCTAGAACTCCTACGTGCTTTTTTCTTGATTTCTTTTATTTCAATCTTTGTTCCTCCTTCCATCTTTATATTAATGTTCACTTCAGAGAGTGGTTTAGTGTTTGTACCATGCGTACCATCTGTTGCACCAAGGTCATTAGCTGATTTCTTTGTGTTCCTTTCCTCTTGATGTAGGTAAAGCCTGTGCAATCTTAGTGCTAATTGGCATATTCCTTCTTTTATTTCGTCCTCTAAATCCCTCTCCACATCCCTTTCAAGCTCCCCTCGAATCTTCATCTCGTTTGTATTCATCTTTTCAACTAAATGCATGCAACAACAAAAAAATTGTATTATTTTTAAACTTGGATTATCTTAATAGCAACAAAAATAAAAAGAAAGAAAAGGAGACAACCTTTAGTAAGGGGTGTCCTATACTGGGGCGGCTCAACCATACTAGGGGTCTAAAGCCAAAGTTAAATGAAGGGCTTAAACTAAAAAAACTATCTTAATTTATTTGAAGTCTATTCTTTTCTAGCTTTGTGCGATGCAAAGTTGTCTTTTGTTACAATCAATTTATTCTAATTCTTTTTTTTTAATTGATAATATAGCTAATTCGTTTAATATTTTTTGAGACATTATTGCCCTTAGGTAAGTCCAAATTAGTTGAGTTGTCCCACATCGGAGGGATTTGAGGTCCTTGGTCTCCTTATATGGCTTGGGCAATCCTCATCTCATAAGCTAGCTTTTGGGGTTGAGTTAGGCCCAAGATCCATTCTTATCACTAACAATCCTAGTTTGACTAGAACTACAAATATAATCCTACTAAAACAAGAATTAAATTACTAGAAAATAAGAAATAACAAATCATAATCTTTAAGGAAACGAAATCCTAATCTTGAATGGATTCTTCACTTCTTGAATTTCTTGGATTTTTAGCATTCCTGATCTTGCATCATTCTCCCCTGGTTGAAAAAGACTCGTCCTCAAGTCTAACAGCTTCCATAGATGGCGCAGGATTTGCTATAATAATGTTACAGAATGAACCTAGACACTTTACATAATGAACATAGACTGTTTCTTAGTAGTGTACATAACCCATATATAGATAGCAGATTTGTAGGAATCTCTTTTATTTTCTTTCCTTAATTAGCACCTGATGTACATGTATATATGTATCACTACATGGAATAATACACCAATTTTGATTCTTCCATACCTTGTTAATTACATGGTATCAGAGCCACATCTGTGGCTTCGCCGGAGTTGAGTTTGTCTTGCCAGAGTTGACCAAAACTTTCCGGCAAACACGTGAGGTGCGTGTGGTCCATTCTCTGTCTAGCTTTGTTCTCCGAGATCAACTTGTATTTTCGATCGATTGTAGGTTATCCTCCGAAAACATAACCTTATTTTCGTGAAGAACAGACTCGGACAAGGTTGTATTACACCAATTTTGGTCAGGTTTGAGTTCTTCTACTGTTTGGTTTGTTTTTGGGATACTGAAGTAGTCATGGAACAATATTATTGCATCTGATTGCTTGTCTTGTGAATTGGTATTTGTTAAGTCTTCCTTGTAAGACGATTTGTTACAATTTGAGACTTGATATTATATGTTGGGTCTTCCCTTATCAGAAACTTTGTTGGTATCTGGTTTTATTTGATTTGGGGACAGATTTGTTTGGTTCTCTGATTTGGTTGAGTGGATTATTGGAGTGGAATTCTGTTAAATAGATTCGTGTTTACCAGAGATCTATTTTGGTATCTTTTAGCTTTGGGGACCTCTGTTAGTTTAATCGGTTTGTTATTCAAAGAAAAAAAAATGATGGCAAAGAATAATAGTGCAACAGCTCGTAGTCCAGCAATCTTGGTTTCGGATGAGTTTCTAAAATTCCTTCAAAATCATAAATCAGTTAAGGAATCTTCTTCAGTTACTGCCTTTGCTGGATCAGATAAAACATGTCTTATCACATCTTCTAATAAATGGGTGATTGATTCAGGTGCCACAAATCACATGACAGGTAATCCAAATATTTTTTCTAGCTTTCGCTCACATAAAGGACCCTCTCCAGTTACTGTAGCTGATGGATCAACTTGTAGCAGTGTTGGATCTGGGACTGTTAAACCAACTTCCTCTATTACCCTGTCATCTGTATTAAGTCTACCAAACTTTAACTTGATTTCTGTTAGTAAAATCACCAAAGACCTTAATTGTTGTGTTGCAGTCTTTCCCGATCATTGTTTGCTTCTAGATCTTACAACGAAACAGGTTATTGGTAAAGGATATTATCTGGTGATCTCTACATCCTTGTGAATGGGAGCCACGGTCTATTGCATGATCTAGTGTTGTGTCTCCCTTTGAAGCACATTGTCGATTGGAACACCCCTCTCTGCCTTTGTTGAAGAAGCTTTGTCCTCAGTTTCAGAATATTTCTTCATTGGATTGTGAGTCATGTCGATTTGCAAAACACCATTCGCATCTCGTTAAGTCCAAGGGTTAATAAACGAGTTGAGTCAGCTTTTGAGTTAGTTCATTCTGATGTTTGGGGACCATGTCCCGTTATTTCCAAAACTGGGCATAAGTATTTTGTCACCTTTGTAGATGATTTTTCTCGAATGACTTGAATTAACTTTATGAAGAGCCGCTCTGAAGTGTTTACTCACTTTTCTGCCTTCTATGCTGAAATCAAAACTCAATTTAACGCTTCGGTGTATATTCTAAGGAGTGATAATGCTAAAGAATACATGTCAGAGTTATTTCAGTCGTACATAAGACAACATGGTATTCTACATCAGTCTTCATGTGTTGATACACCCTCTCAAAATAGAGTAGCTGAGAGGAAGAATAGGCATCTACTTAAGACAGCTCGGGCACTTTTGTTCCAAATGAAGGTTCCTAAACAGTTCTGGGCTGCTGCGGTCTCAACGGCTTGCTTTCTGATTAATCGCATGCCATCTACTGTGCTTGGTGGTAATGTGCCTTACAGTATCCTTTTTCCATACAAGGCATTATTTCTGGTGGAACCTAAGGTATTTGGAATCACATGTTATGTTCGAGATGTTCGACCATCTATTACCAAGTTGGATCCCAAGGCATTGAAGTGTGTTTTCCTTGGCTATTCTCGCCTTCAGAAAGGGTATCGGTGTTATTCTACTGAACTTGGCAAATATTTAGTGTCAACTGATGTGGTATTTTCAGATACTACACCATTTTTCTATGCACCTCCCATTTTTACAAGTCAGGGGAGGAAGATGAGTGGCTAGTATATCAGGTTACTCGTACTTTGACAAAACAACGAGATGATGTTCCTTCATCTCCTAGTTCTATCGAGCACCAATTCATTATTCTGCCTTCAGCACCTGCTCCAACTATGGTAGCAAGACCGCCAATTGCTCAAGTTTACTCGCGGAGGCAACAGACAAATGATACATGTTCTGCACCAGTTCCTTCGTCATCAGTTCCTTCATCATCAGATGTGCCTCCACCTGACCCTCCGGAAAATCTCGACCTTCCAATTGCTCTTTGCAAAGGTATACGCACTTGCAAATCCACATATTCTATTGCTAATTTTGTTTCCTACGACCACTTGTCCCCTGCATCAAGATCTTTGATTGTGTCTCTAGACTCTATTTCTATACCCAAAACGTTAAAAGGAGGCTTTGAATCATCCTGGATGGTCTGAAGCAATGCTTGAGAAAATACATGCCTTACAGAAAAACCACACTTGGGATTCAGTGGATTTACCCAGTGGAAAGAAAGCAGTGGATGCAAGTGGGTCTTCACGGTTAAAGTTAATCCTGATGGCTCTGTGGCGAGACTTAAGGCCAGACTTGTGGCTAAGGGGTATGTTCAGACTTATGGGGTGAATTATTCAGACACCTTCTCTCCGGTTGCCAAACTTACTTCTGTTCGCTTGTTTATTTCTCTAGCTGCTTCTGAGAATTGGCCTTTGCATCAATTGGATATTAAGAATGCTTTACTTCATGGTGATCTCCATGAAGAGGTATATATGGAGCAACCACCTGGTTTTGTTGCTCAGGGGGAGTATGGCAAGGTCTGTCATTTGAAGAAATCCTTATATGGCTTGAAGCAGAGTCTCGTGCTTGGTTTGGTAAATTTAGTAAAGCAATTCAAGAATTTGGGCTGAAAAAGAGCAAATGTGATCATTCTGTCTTCCACAAGCAATCAACAGCTGGATCTATTCTCCTTGTTGTATATGTGGATGACATTGTTATCACAGGGAGTGATTATGCAGGAATCTCTTCTCTCAAGTCTTTCTTGCATACTAAGTTTCATACAAAAGACTTGGGACAACTAAAATACTTCTTGGGAGTAGAAATAACTAGAAGCAAGAAGGGAATATTTCTATCTCAGAGAAAGTATGTTCTTGACTTACTAGCAGAAACTGGTAAGTTGGCTGCCAAGCCTTGTAATACTCCAATGGTTCCTAATTTGCATCTTATGAAAGATGATGGCGATCCATTTAATGATCCAGATAGATATAGGAGGTTAGTTGGGAGATTAAACTATCTCACTGTGACTCGTCCAGATATTGCTTTTGCAGTGAGTATGGTTAGCCAGTTCATGTCCGCGCCCACAGTTAAACATTGGGAGGCTTTGGAGCAGATCCTATGTTACTTAAAAGGAGCTCCTGGACTTGGCATATTATACAGCAATCACGGTCATTCTCGCATTGAATGTTTTGTAGATGCAGATTGGGCTGGATCCAAGATTGATAGAAGATCTACTACTGGTTACTGTGTATTTGTTGGTGGAAACTTGGTATCATGGAGAAGTAAGAAACAAAATGTTGTATCTAGGTCCAGTGCGGAATCCGAGTATAGAGCTATGGCACAATCAACAAGTGAGATAATGTGGATACATCACCTTTTAACTGAAATTGGGTTGAAGCATCCTACTCCATCAAAACTCTGGTGTGATAATAAAGCTGCACTCCATATTGCCTCAAATCCAGTGTATCATGAAAGAACCAAACATATTGAAGTTGACTGTCATTTTATTCGTGAGAAGATTCAAGAGAAATTGATTTCCACTGGCTACGTGAAGACATGAGAGCAACTAGCTGATTTGTTCACTAAAGCATTGAATGTCACTCGAGTTGATTACCTTTGTAACAAGCTGGGCATGATCAATATTTATGCTCCAGCTTGAGGGGGAGTGTTACAGAATGAACCTAGACACTTTACACAATGAACATAGACTGTTTCTTAGTAGTGTACATAACCGATATATAGATAGCAGATTTATAGGAATCTCTTTTATTTTCTTTCCTTAATTAGCACCTGATGTACATGTATATATATGTATCACTACATGGAATAATACACCAATTTTGATTCTTCCATACCTTGTTAATTACAAATAAGAACGGAGACCCAGGGGGGAAATTGAGGACCCAATGCTCACCAGGTTTTAGGTTTACATTTTGCAAGTTTATCATAGAGCTTCTTCACGTTGTAAGCAAACTTAGCATGTGGTTGAACCAAATTCCACTTTCTATTTTTCAACTTTCTATCAAGTCCTCTCTATGTAATCTTTCTATATTGACTCTCAAACTTCAACTCACGATATGAAGTTATTGGTATATAGTTAACCAACTCCATGTCTAGCTTTGAGTTAAGCATGGAGATCAACGCTCTTCTTGGGAATGCATCAATTGCATCGCTCGTACACCAACAGTCACTTTGATGATAGCCATTTATATTTATGACGTTAAGACATCTTGTTTCTCCGATATACGGACTCAAACTCTCCAATATCCAATCTTTATAGGTAATTTTTCCTCTTTTTCTAGCATATTTCTATGGACTTTAGAATTAATGCAATATGCTACCTTGTTTAGATTGATAAAGTCAACTATCAAGTCAATATTGTGTCGAGCATCTCTAAAAGGCGGAAAGTCAATAACACACATAGTTGGGTTCGGATCATCATAAAACTTCAGGTGGGAACTCCTCAATTAGTGGATCCAATGCTTGTTCCTCGTCTCTTTGATATTGGTCTTTATTAGCTTTGTCCTCTTCACGCCCCTGATTATCTGAATATTTATCATAATGGGCATGGTGTCTTATTACTCTTGTGCCTTGGTCAGCTTCAACCTCTTCAGCTCTTTGTGAATGAATTGGTGGATATAGAAGTGGTAGATGTGGCGGTTGTAGGCGTTATGGCGAATTTGGTAGTTGATATTGAAACATCAAGCTTTCAACTAATTTAGTCAGATTCTCTATTGATTCCTTCAAGTCATCTAGCTGCACTTTAATTTCTTCGTTGTCTCGTTCGAGCATTCTAGTTCTTAATTTATGAACTTCTAATTGAAGATCTATTGAAGAGGATCCCGAACTTGGTATTTTCTTGTTTGGTGACATGATGAACAATGTAGTAGCAAATCAAGAATTCGGACCTGGAACTTGTGCTCTAATACCAAATTGATGTACTTTCAAGATTTTGTACCTCTCAAGTACAAAGAAGAGAGAAAAACAAAATCACCCCGCTAAAGTTTTTCACAAAACTAGCGAAAGCGTTCTTCAAACTCACGTTAGAAGAATGTAAGATGGAAAGAAACCTCACCCACAAGTTCCTCAATCCCGCAAGATTGCAAGAAGCGTTGAATAAAGGAAGAAGAATGAAATAAAAGATCAATCACGTTTTTGAAGCAAAAGCTTAGAAAAACTAATCACCAACCTTTATTTTCAGCATATTGAGCCCTTTAAATAGGCCTTACAATGAGTAAAATTGATAAGGTTAAGGAAAACCAATCCTAATTAAACTAGAATAAGAATAAGGCTAAGAAAACCTATCCTAACTAAAATTGGAAAAAGAATTCTAGTAAGAATGGGATACCAACTAACAATCCTAGTTTGACTAGAACTACAAATATAATCCTACTAAACCAAGAATTAAATTACTCCCTCCGTTCCAGTTTATGTGAACTTATTTCCTTTTTGGTCCGTTCCAAAAGAATGAACCCTTTCTAAATTTGGAAACAATTTAGCTTAAATTCTCAATTCTACCCTTAGTGAAAAGCTTTTATAACCACACAAATACAGTGGACCCCTATTTGAGTTGTTTAAAACCACAAATTCCAAAAGTCTTTATTTTTTCTTAAACTTCATGCCCAGTCAAACAGATTCACATAAATTGGAAGACAGGGAGTACTAGGAAATAAGAAATAACAAATCATAATCTTTAAGGAAACGAAATCCTAATCTTGAATGGATTCTTCGCTTCTTGAATTTCTTGGATTTTTAGCATTCTTGATCTTGCATCACTTTCCCTCAGGGAAGGTGTCTCTCATTTTCGCGACCAGTGTAGAAATATCCTCATATAGATAGAACAAGTTATTGACAAAAATAGATCAAAAACTATTTCTAACTTTCAGGAGAACACAACTGCTGTGGTAGCACTATGTCATTTTCACATGATCTAATTATTGAATCTCCAATGTCAAGATACATAGAGCTGAAAGTATACTCACAGAAAGCACGGAGCTCAGACAAATGGAAGGCTGAGAAACCGGCTTCTGAACACAGATAGCGAGAACACCATTTGACCTTTCTTTCTCTTTTGAGTAAAATTTACGGTAAACTTGGACACCTGAAATTTGCATGTTTAAAATATAGCATTCATATAAGGAATATCCATCAGAAAGAGTTCTGAATTGATTATCCATTTTACTTATTGCAAGCATTGAAAAATTAGCTAGTAGCAGAAAGCAACAAAGTCTAGAATATTATTAGCCTCACCATCTCTCCATATATACAGATAGAATATGGCTCTACCTATTCATGGAAAACAAGACAAATGAAGGTTTTCACCTTACATATCACTTGAACATATTGCTTTCCACTTGCAAGCTCTTGAGAAGATGAGGTCCTCAAACGGTCCCATTATATTCCAATTTTCTCTAGTAACCTTCAAGAACCAACTATAAAACCTTGGCTTTTGAACTCTGATGACAAACAGGGATATGAGAAACCAAACTAAGGATGGCAGTAGTTATTTAACAACATTTCTTGTTTCGAACTACAACATATGTGTTTTTAACATCATTAGAAACAGCTACACCTTTTTGGGAATTAAGGTAGCAAAATGGTGAGAAGCGTCAGATGCGAGTTGAAAAGAGATTGAGAAGGGAAGCCAGGATTTTGAAGATAGGGATGAGCAACATGTGTACAAGCATGCATTACCCTGTAGGTAAATTGCCAAGGAGCGATGCAGGGAGGGGAACTCCCCTTGACTGTGGACAGTGGATCAAAATAAACAATGATCTAACCGATGATATTACTCTTAGTTGCGAATAAAGATATTTGGTAAACATATAATCATACAATATCCTTTAATCATCTTCCAAAAATATTAGAAGTGCCTACAGACATGCAAGATATGGAGTGAGAAGTAACATCCTCACTACTATATAGTAAGAGATTTTAACCTTCTTCAATAGTATCCACTCCAGGAAGAAGGTCTTGAAGATTCTCTGCTTCTAGCATCTCACAAAATGAATGATAATGATGGACATCCTGCAAATTGGCCTTTTATTCAGTTGACTATAAGAAGTACCAAGGCGATACATAAAAAGAAAATAAATGTAGATGTCGAATGTACCTGAACTTTAAGAAGTAAACATTTGTTGAAGAGGATGAAAGCTCCTGGTTCAATTCTAACATCCAAAAAAAGACATCATCTGAGAGAGGAAGTGGGAAGGAGAAGAAAACATTTTTTAGAAGATCAGTGTATTAAAACTCTGCTTGCAGTCATTTTAAGCAAGTTTCTTTTTTAGAATGAAAGGATAGCTCTCAAAGTTGAATTGTGGGGGTTCTAGTGTCAAGTCATTTGAAGAAAAACAGGATTAACTTTTTGGCAAAGCATTAGAAGTGGTTTTATTACAAAATGAATATCGAAATGTTACGGGAGAAAAAAGTGAAATAAATAATACAAACAAACATGTTAAACAAAATCTACTAACAAATGAGGTCCTCGTGATCTAAAACATTAGAGATGGAAATTCTTCCTTTAATGATAACTTTGATTAGGTTCAGTATAATACAACCATACAAGACTCCTTCAGCATGCTCTTCAGAGCATCAAATTTCATATGACAGGGAAAATTAAGAGTTAACCAAAGACAGTTTTGTTGATTGCAATGGATGCTAAGAATAGTATTTTGGCACATGATTTGATTGATTGGTAACCTATTTTGGCATACAATTTAACTGATTGGCAACCTTGACAGTTAGCATTAAGCACAACACATTTACCAAGTATACAGCAGTAGCAAGTCATAATGAAGTCATACTTATTATAATGTCCAACAGCACATCTTCCTTCAATTGTTTTCTGTCCACCTGCAGATAATTTGAAAGACTACGACTGCTCAGGGAAAAATGCATTAAAAGTAAAAGAAATCTAAATCTATGAAAAATTGAAAACTAATTTTGCTAGCAAAAGCAGTATATCCAGATATTTTATACTTCTGAGCAGGGAGAAGTAAGGCTCCTGAACATGGAGTTCAAAGTCCACAGATTTTAGCACCTGTAGATAGCAACATCCAATATACATTAATTTCAGGATGATGTTTAAGAAACTGAAACAAAGAAGAAGAAACTCCATTACATGCTTAACTTACATTTAGCAAATGAGAACCTTTTTTCCTGATCAAACTAGTCCACTCTTCTTGCATTTGCTTCGATGAACAGGATTCCTGCATTACTGCAAGTTTGTGTTCTGTCCTTGGCAAGGCTTCAGAAGATATAGCCTGATATAAGGATGCTGCAAGGCACTTGTATAAAGGATATGGTGGAACTCCTTCAGAAAGATCTGTCACAAACAAGCAGAACAAGAAAAGGTACTATCAACCTGATGTAGTGCTAAGTATCCAAAATCTCGGGCATACAGCACAAATGAGAATTTTATATTCTTTAAGAAGAGGAGGTTGACAAATTCCCATTTCAGAGAAGGGAGCAACATCCTTAGGGGTAGTTTGGTAGGGGAACAAGTTATCCGGCATTATAATGATGTGATTGTAATATGGGGATTAAATAATTATGGGATTATTAAATGAATATATTTTTATTGGAAGATGTTTGGTTCACTGGACTAAAAATGAGATAACAACAACAACTACCCGGTATAATCCCACCAAGTGGGTCTGGGGAGGGTAGGATGTACGCAGCCTTACCCCTACCCGAGACTATTTTCGAATGACCCTCGGCTAAAGGGACTAAAAATGAGATATACAGGGTATAATATAAATATGTGTTTAGTGTATACTAGATAAGTTGGGATAACTTTTATTTTCAATTTTAACCTTGGATTGTTTAAAAGACTTTGGAAAAAGCCTAGGAAAAGGGCATCTTTGTCATTTTAATAGTTATCCCAGGATTAATTAATCACGGGATTATTATCCCACCCTCAATGTGGGATAGAATAATACCCGATTGTGGGATTAATTATCCCCGAGATTGCTAATCCCAGATTCAAAAATTCAACCAAACACAAGATAAAATAATCCCGCATTAAATCCCGATATTATTATCCTTATCCCACATACTAAATGACCCCTTAAGTAATAGCCTTTCTTCCTACACGGAAGCAAAGATCCATATAGACGGCACCAACTATAGTTAGGATTACACTAGTTATCTGTGTTACGGAAATGAGAGATCAAGAGAAACCCTAAATTGCCTGTAAAAGGCAAATTATTCAATATTGGATGAAAGTTGACTTAACCTGCGAACTTAGAAGACTCTTTATGCTGCTAGTATTAAAATTTCAAAACGAAGTTAAGTCAACTGCTAAAGTTAAGATACCATTTAGGTTAAAAATTAGAAAAAGAGAGTGAGGAACATTTGTTTTATCTTTACCTCAATTCAGCTGCAAAAGTATGATGCGCTTGTTTTAATGGGTTACTTCTAGTTTTAATAGTACTGTATACATACATAAACAAATAGTTGACACCACAAAAAGAGAAAACGATGAGACATATAGAGCTCAAGAATCCTTAAAACAAGAGTTACCAGTGGAATTAGGAAAGGGATTGGAAGAATCGTCTAGTAAGAGGGTGGTGCAGTAATCTTTGGAGAGACCTATGTCTATTTCAAGAGTGCCGTCAATGGAGGAAGAAAGTGTGAACCTCAGCAGCTCTTCTATGCAGTCCTTCAGTAGCAGTGACACTCCTTGTCCTGGTGTTGCAGCTGGCTGGTTTTCCATCTTTGTCACGACAATCTCGATTGTGAATTCATACGCTACCTCGGTTAAATATTATTTTTTATTAGGCCAAATATATAAATAGCCCCTTAAATTTGGTCACAATTTTCCACTTACACATTTTAACTAAGTTAGTAATTTATTGGCCACTCAATGTCTATATAAAACTAGTAAACTTACCCGCGCCTTACACGGGGTTTAAGAAACATCAATAAAATTTTCAAGCTAATAACAAACATAGATATTATGCCTCTTTTTATGAGGAAAAAAATTGTCAATAAATAAAATATATTTGGTTTAATTCATAAATCTAATTTATTTGTTTGTAGCAAATAATCTATGTGATGTATAGTTAAGTGTATATTACCAATAAAGATTACTTAAGTTTTATCTAATTAAGAAAGTCCAAGACTAATAAATATAAAAACTAAAATTAAAATAAAAGTTGCATAGATTCTTACTACTAATTACACTAATAAAACAAATTAAATTATTGTTAGTTCTATATTGAAAAGCTGAAAATTTCTATGAGAAAAATTGCATACTTTTTGACAAAAGATCATTAGGAAGACCTCCTCCTCTTACCTTGCAACATATATGTTAAAACTTTCCGTTAATTTATTGCATTATTCTGTAGTCAAAGCATCTGGTAATTAAAGCATGTTTTTATTGGAATATATTAATTGAGTAACTGCAAAATTAAATTAGAGATATTGACACACTTTAAAGAATAAGATTCACCAAGTATTGAGATCAAATGGGATTTGATAAATAGTAAAAATAAACGGAGTAAATAATGAGGACAAAGTATATTTTTTGGCAGTTTTTTGACAGAAAATAAGAAAAAAGTTCAAAATTTAGAGAAAAAAGATAAATTGTCATACTGGATAAAGAGACATGCCACGTCATCTTTTCCATTCCTAGAAACATTCTAGATTAAATATGAACTAATCCATTTAATCAGTATATCTGGACATAAATAAAAGATACATAAATTAAATAAAATAAAATACAAAAACGAAATAGTGATAATATATATATCTAGATAATGTAAACCTGACATATTTTTGTTTTTTCCTCATGCTCTAACTTTTTATATATATATTTTTTAATTTCTTAATAATCATTAACACTTATGTTCAATGAAGTTAACATTTTTCATGGCTCTCAAATAAAATTTAAAAACACTAAGAAAAGGAAATAACATTAAAATAAAAAAATTAAAACAAACGAAATAAAGAAAATGAAAACAAAAATTAAATGTATCTTATCAGTGATAGGATCAAATGTCTTGATTCCTAATACTTTTCTTTTGCCTATTCTCTTCCTTTTCTTTATCTCTTCCTTTGAAATATTTTTATCCTCTTATTCCAATTCCAACAATCAAAAACCCCTAATTTTATCCCTAAAATTACAAATTGACAAACCAAAACCTATAACTCTTATCTTTTGGATTTATTTCCCGGGAAATCAAAAAAGTCTTGATTGCATATAATGATGTTGATATATCTTGATTGGAAGGAGAACGTGCCAAAATATAAATAATACAATGAGGCTATAATTAATCACAATGCCATTGTTACACTACAAATTCAATGAGCGTAATTTTTTATTTCATCTTTGTTCAGAGGAAAATGAAAGAGATCAAAACGAATTAAAACTCAATGATAAAAGTTAGCAGAAAATAAATACTTTGTATTATCCATCAGTTAGTTTGCATCCTCGAAGGTCAATTAGAATCAAATTCACCAATAAAATTCAAAATAAGACGATAGTATATAGTCTATTAATTACCACGCACCATATTTATTACACCATAGCTTTTCAACAATTAGGCACTTGAAGGAGAAGATAGACGTAATTGGTGCTAACAAAATATTGCAGCTTAGGCACAACAAAATTAGGCATATAATCGTCACAAAAAATAAATTATTGGCTAAAAGCACCAAAAAAAGATATAAAATGACAGTAATGACAAATACATTTGTTTCATATCCATGATAAAAGGCTGTTATTCAATCCTTTTATCATGAAAATTTCATATATTCCTAACTTCTAGTTTGATAAACTTTGGACGACTCTTCTCTGTATTTGCTTTATAATTCATCAAGAATTGATTCACCTACTCGAAATCCGTCAAAAGCATTGTGGCTGCGACATACATGATCTGGATTGGGATCAAACATTGATATAATTTCAACAACTTGCTAACTCAAGACAAATAAATTCACAGTAACTCATCGATGCAATTAGCAGATTGGCACCAACAATAATTAACAAAAATATAGCATTAAAGAATATCTATACACATATAAACTGGCACGCCTAAAAATTTTATGGATGCCTATGGCCTAACAAACTGCAAATACCTTTCAGTCAAACCCTCTTCTTCGCCGAAGAACAAACGCGTGACTCTTCTTCCTCTTATCGAAAGGAAAAGTCAAAAGCTTAGGTAGTATCTCTCTCTTGATTGGAATCTGTTAAAATTCTTGTGTGTTTCAAACATTTTTTCACTTTCATCAATATAAGCTTTAGAGTCTACATGAGTGTTTTGCCTGAACTTAAAGCAGTGCATAAGAAATTATTTTGTAACTGACAATTTATATAAGGATCTTTAAAAGGAAAGAGAATTCAACCACAACCCATTATTATTTGAATCCAAATTTTGTAACCGTTTGATTTAGTAGCTGAATCGTTGCAATGCTAACATTTTGTTGGACAAAAAAGAGATATTTAATAGAGAAGTGGGAGGAAAAGGTAAAAAAATGACAAAAAAGATAAATGTCTTTCCAAGCATTAGACAGGTGCCACATAGGATTTTCAAAGCCCAACTTTATATATAGATATAGATGTACCAATTAAACAAATTCTGAAATTCACAAATCTATATGAGGTAAAGGTGTATCTCTTCACGGAGATGCAAGAGAAGAGGCATGTAGCTCAACTGCCCACTAGCACTATACAAGTGCTCAATGAACATCAAGCCACCACAAGACCAGACTGTGGGCAACACAGCCATGATCTTAGTACCCTCACTGAGGAGGATCCCTGTCTTTCTAGATGGGGATGGAGAATGGGGACCCAACAAACATGAATCTAAACCTATCCATGAACCGTCCAACTAACTTTATTATTTGAAACATAAGGGGAGGGAATAATGATGACTTTAAAAGAAACTTTAGGGAGATGGTTGATACGCACAAACCATGCATGGTTATCGTTTTGGAAACTAGGATGGCAAACCACGCTCAAATGCTAGATGACTTTGGTTTTTCGGAAATGATAGAAGCTCCAGCTGAAGGCCAATTCGGAGGAATGGTGGTAATGTGGAATCACAATGTAGTCACAGTCCAAAATTTCATTCGCAGGAACCATAAAATTCATGTAACCATAGAGGTAATTCCTGTTCGTAAATCTTGGTTATTTTCTTCTATATATGCTTCTACCGATAAATATATCAGGAATATAATGTGGAAAAATCTAAAAAAAATATTCACAAAAACTAAAGGCCCCTGATGGTAGGAGGAGACTTCAATGACATTATGGGATCAAATGAAAAATTTGGGGGGAGACCATTAAACTGTAATAGGGCAAAGTACCTTTGGTCAAAACTTAGTACTTGTAACCTCACTGACATTGGCATAAGGGTTGTAAATTTACGTGGTCTAATAATAGGAAAAGGAATAAGGGTCTTATAATGGAACGTTTAGATGAAATCTAAGGAAATGAGGAGTGGCTTGAATTATTCCCTAATTGCTCAATAATTCACCTTCCTAAGACCTATTCAAACCATAATACATTTCTAGTAGAACTAATTCCTAGAGGCAGGCGGGAATATAAACAACCCTTTCGTTTAGAGTCTTTTTTGTGTAGACACCCGGACTTTCAAAATCTTGTTAAAAAAAATGGTATGGTATGGACTACTGTAGCGCGAGCAACAATTTTACAAATAATATTAATTCATGGAAGGACGAAACTTTTGGGGATATTTTTAGCAAAAAAAGAAAAATCCTAGCAAGATGATAATAGGCTAAATTGTATAGTTTGGCCTACGTTCGGGCTCTAACTTAAGGATGCTTTACTGTTGTAAGTGTGTAAATAATGCAAAAATTGGCTCTAATGGTGACTTTTATGTTTCACAGGAGTGTAATAATCAAATGAGGACTTATGATGGTGATCCGGGCAAAATTTGGAATTAATGGACGAAAAAAGGAGCAAAGCTCGTTGGCAGTGGAAAACCCCACTAGCGCGGGCATTAGCGCGGCCTTAGCGCGCCCGCGCTAGTTCAGCAGCCCAAAACAGAATTAAACCCCACTAGCACGGGCAGTAGCGCGGTCTTAGCGCGCCCGCGCTAGTCCAGATTCGGGAACGGTAGTTTTAAAAGGGCAAGTTCGGAAGTCCAAGAAAATCTACAAAAACTAGAAAAGGTTTAACAAGTCCAAGAGAGAGGGGAGTTCGAGTTTTTGAGAAGAAGCAAGAGAGGCAAGGAGGCAACTTGAAAAACGATTTTATTCTCCCTACTTTATTATTCTATCAATGACTATGAATTCTTTTGTAGTTTTTATCGTTGTTATGAGTAGCTAATTATTTTAATCTAAGGTTTTGGTGAAACCCGTTGGGGATGACTTGGTTGTTATATTAATATAGTTTTGAATTGGTTGCTAATCTCTATTTGTTCATCTACGTTTTGATTGTGGTTAATTGGAAGGGCCCTCAATTAGCCGTCCCTATTTAGTATGTATCTACTTGAGAGAGAGTGCATATTTAGGTAGTTGTTTGAACAACATCACTCCCGGAGTATAGACGAGAGTCGTAACAGAGGGTTTAGAGGTTGGATTAGAGATAACGATACCTCGGGTGCAATCTAAGTGAACTGTAATGTGAATCTAGCTAGCGTAGCTTGAGAGAGTGCGTCTAGTAAATTATCATAATTGCTTGAGAAAGATTTATGATAGCTGGAGAGTTCATGATTGATAGAGACAACTAAGTCACAGTTATAAGACATATACAACCAAGGAAATCAACAACGGGGGAAACCATTACCTTAGACCT